TAAGTGGCTCATTTACTGTACCATCTGGTTCCAGGCTTTCAGTTTGATGTTGTTTTTTTCTTCCACATACCATTCACGCTAAGAGTTGTCCCATGCTCTCGTGTTTTTTTTTATATGTAACAAACGTTACGAAGTGAAGAAAGGAGATTAATTACTGCGGTATATGTAGCAAGAAACGAGTCTATTTATAATTAGTTAAGTCAGAATGAAAGTAATACAACTGCTGGATACACGTGGATTCAGAACCGTACACAACACGAACCCCAGATAGACTAATTGTCACGCTTCTTGAAAACAGTCCATTTCTTTGATCTTTATCACCTTATGCATTTGGATAATCCTCTCATTTGTTTCCGTGTTGCTGTACTGCACATTGAAAGTTAATGTGAACAATAGCTAATGGCCATAATTAAGACGTTGACTATTGAGGAAAGGAATTTTTTTTGTCTCTTAAACATTTTGAATTTAATGTATTACACCAAATTTATTATGAAATATTTCTTTTGGAGTTCTATAAATAACTGTTTGTGATGAGTGTAGTTTGAGTATGGCATTATAGTAACATAATAACAGGGTCGTAGGAAGCGGTAAGGCCTGACCTCTTTTTCATAGCATGTATAGCTACAACTTATGTATTAAAACTTGCTTATTTTAATTCAATACATTACGTTGTGTGTATGTAGTAGTTGTAGTTAAAATGTCCCAAGACTCAATCTCATGACATTAAATTAAAAAAAAGATTATGGGGCATCATCCTCCAGACCTCCTAGAAACGGCATGCTTTGCATGTCGGTGTGTCACACTATTTAGCTGTGACAATGAATACTAATAATAGGTAGATATATGTAGTTATAAATAATCCATTTTCACTTATTGTGATTACCATACGCTACGGTTACTGTGTACTTTAGCCTTTTTTGAATTTTCAAAATCTAAAATTAGTGAGAAACTGGTACTGATGTGACCTAGTTCAGAGTCAGTTTAATGTAAGCTGTGTTATAGTTAATAAAAAGAAACTAATGTTGATTGGAACTCGGTCAAAACGTAAGCTGTGTCATAATTAACCAGAACCTGATGTTGGTGGGAACTAGTTAATGACTTGTTTAATGTAAGCTGTGTTATAATTAACCAGAACCTGATGTTGGTGGGAACTAGTTAATGACTTGTTAAATGTAAGCTGTGTCATAATTAACCAGAACCTGATGTTGGTGGGAACTAGTTAAT